TCTCTCAGCAACCAGCTGCCTTGGCCTGTCCCCCCACCCACCCCATGTCTCTGTGTGTGCCCCCTCTGAATCCCCCAGGCTCCCCATCTCTGTCTCTAGACTCAAAGGCAAGCCCATAGCGAGAGGTACAGCTGTAAAGCATTTGTGCTGGCCGCCAGGCTGGCGGGCGAGCCATCTGCAGCCGGGTAGCTGCCAGGCCTGAAATGACGGGAACCCTGGGCCTCAGCCCAGCCCCAGCCCTTCCACCCCAACCCCCAAGGCAAGAACCTCTGTCTACCAAGGCCAAAGAGTCCAGGGGTGAGGGGAATGGCCTTGAGGCCAGTCCAGGAGACGGGACAGGCACCGTCAGCCCCTACTTGGCAACCCGCATCTGAGCTTCGCTGTGGGGGTGGGGAGGCTCTCCTGGGGGGAGGACTGCCCACCCAAGCCTCAGTGGGAGACTTGTCCTCAGCTGGCCCCCAGCCCACCACCACCCTCCATGGTTAAGGGGAAAGTTCCCAGGCCAATAGCCTGCAGAGTAGGGAGAAGGGAAAGAAGGACCCTCTCTCCCAGCCCCAGGGAAGAGGAACCCCCCAAACCTCCACTTGCCCTTTCGTCTGTGCCCCCCTCTCCCCTCCTGGGGGAGGGCATTGAGTGAGTGGGCCGCTGAGACAGACCTCAGGTCACAGCAGACCCATCTGGTTTCACTCAGGAGAGCAGGCTCCCAAGTCGCGGAGGGCACATGGGAGAGGGAGGCCATGCCCCGCAGTCCCCCCAGAGTGCAGCCCCTGTCCTATCTGGTCTCCTTTCACCTCCCAGCGGGGCCTCACACGCAGACACCAGAAGGCTAGGTAAGGCGGGGAAACCTGAGGGGCCTGCCTTTTCCTACCCAATCATCTAACCACAGACGTCTGTCCATAGTTAGACGTCCAGACCACAGGGAAGGGAAACTGAAGGAAAGAAGGAAACCGGACGGAGGAGAAAGGGCCCAAACACAGACATTCAGAGCAAGTGAAGGTCCTAGAAATCACCAGGTCCCAGCTGGACCTTATTACAAATGGGGAACCAGAGGTCCTGAGAAGGAAGTCTAATAGCACCGCTTGCTGAACTCGGCCCAAGCCCTATTCACACATTCTGCCCACTGATCTTCACAGGCACCCTCTAGATAGGAATTACCATCCCCACTTGACAGACGGGAAAGCTGAGACTCACAGGAGTGAAAGGTCTTACCTGCCCAACCTTACCCAGGTTCCGGTAAGTGACCAAGTCTGTTTGATTCCAGAGCCTGGGCACCAGGCTGCGCCCCCAGGAAGCCAAGGCTGCCTCAGTAGTCCATGCCCCAGGGCCACCATTTTGCCTCCCCTGCTGTCTCTAGACTTGAACCAGGTAGGAACCCAGTGCTGGAGAAATCTACCCTCCCCGACCAGGGCCTGCTCTGGCGCCCCAGTCCTCACCCTCCCAGTCCCAACTTCTGTCTCCAGGCCCAGGGTATAAAGGATACAAATCTGAAACACCAGCCTCCCTGATCATGGCTTGGTGCCGGGGTTCTAATCCTGGCTCTGGATGACCTTGGCCCCTCAACTCACCCGTCAACAAAACGGACTGGTTGTCTAAAGCTGGCTTAAACTGATTCTGCGGTTCCCCAACCCTCTATTCCTATCATCCTGAACAAACCTAGAGGCTTCCCTTTGGCTTGGGTGGTCTTTAGAAAGAAGGTTCTGACACCAGTTTCAGAATTTAGAACTGGCAAGGAGGCCAAGAGAACAGGGGACCCAGCCAGCCGTGGAAGCTGCTAATCTCCATCTCTGCCTGGGGGAACTTCACTGCTGCCTCCACTGAAAGCAATTTGTCATGCCCTGAATTAAGTGATTCCAACAAGGGTTTAATTTCAGTTTAATGGCTCTGTTTTTATGTGTAATCAAATACCACTGCATGGCGAAAATAAGTTGTTTGCACTTTAGAGTGTGTAAGGGCCCGAGAAGCCAATCCCACCGAGTTTCTACTCCCAGGCTCCACCAGCCCCTCTCTCTAGTCTGGCTGGAATTGTCTAGGTCCTGGGGAAGGGGGGCTGGAAGCCTGAGGAAGACAAGGGGTCCATGGGGGAGAGGTGGTCCTGGCGGTGCCTGTTCACTCAGCAGAGCATGTTTCTAATTATCTGCAGCACCCTCCCCCTTCTACTCCCTGACCCCACCCCTCCCCAACCTCCTGGGGCCTCAAACATAGAGGGGACAAGTCATTCTGACAGTGAGGATCTAATTAGACCCTTGGCTGGCTGGAGTGGTGTCTGCTCCACCACCACCCCCCACCCCCCGTGGGTGTGCCCAAAGGGGCCCCATTGTCTCTCCTCCACTTACTGTCCCTAGGCACTCCCCCTCCCCCTGAATACGCGGCCTCCCCCATTGACCCTCTCCCCTGAGTGCTAACAGGCCCCTTTCCTCCCCTCTTCCCTGGGACAACTCAACATCCCAGCTGCCAGCGGGCCTCCCAGCTCCATCCAACCACATCATCTTGAAGTTCTCTTTCTAGGTCAGAGGTGACATTGCCATAGGGGTCTGGAATGCAGGGGGAATTTCTCTGGCTGGGAATGTTTCAAGGTCATTTACCACACAGCCATCTCCCCCACCCCCCTGCCCCCCAGGAAGGGGGGCCAAGCAGGCGCCCCAAGTCCTGCATGCCTCATAACATTCCTGGAGCTGCTTGCTGGCAGAGTCTGGCCCAGAGGGCAGAGGGGTTGGGACCAGCGGCCTTTTCCTGGAAGGAGTAGAAGCAGTAGCAGGAGCTGGAACTTCGGTGCCCTGGTGGGAGGCTTGCCCAGCAACGCAGAGATGCCCCCACCTGAAGCTAATACTGGAGTCAATCCAAGTCTCCATTTCTCCCCCCTGCTCCCACCCTGCCTTCTTGCCAATGGAAAACCCAGCCCCCAACCCTCCACCGACATCAGGGCTTGATCTCCACTAACGAGCTGGGAAATGGAAACCAAATGTCTGATGTAGACCAACACCAACGGGCTAGGGGATCTGGCAAGGCGCCCCCATTCCTCTGCTCCAAGCCACAGTAGGGGGGAATAACATTTTTCGGGGAGGCAGGGTAGAGCACTCCAGGGCTGTGGTTTTAAGTCCAGGTGTGGTGGCCCCATGAGGACATAAGAATTTGGTCCTTGCCACCTCCTCCTTTTTACCTCTGCCAGAGATGCCGATGCCCCCTGTGGCAACTAGAGTGACCATTCAAGGGTATTCGAAGGCTGTGGTCAGAGGGCCTAGGTGCAAACTAGGTCGGGAAGTCCTCTCTGGAGCCCTGTTCTCCCCTCTGTGACACTGCCCACGACAGTTCACTTTGCCCAGCAGGGTGTCCACTTTGCCCAGCAGGGTGTCCACACCGACACTGAGCTGCTTATAGTTCCTTTTTTTTGACACCTAGGTCCCTGATTGTGGGAGCAAGCGTCAGGGGTGGGGGGGGGCAGTGTTTCTGTGGAATATGGAACTCCCCCTCTCAAAGTGCACATCCTCTATTCTTGGATGCTAGACAGTTCCCCACTAACCCTGCCGTGGGGACACCTAATGAGTGAAGGTCACTCATTCACAGCCTGGAGTGAATGAAATACATACTCTGAATTTTTCATTCCCTCTCCTCACCTCATGCACATGCAGTCAGATTCACACAGCCCACATATTGACACACCAGACAAATACTCGCGTCTACACACACCCAGACCAAGTACACATGCCTTGTAAAAGTCCACACGCTCACTCACATTTCAGGTGTCACTTTCCTATATTCACACACGTGTGCACATGCACACACACACACACACACCATAAATATACATGTATCACAAAGGCATGGCCCAGGCCGTATGCGCAGCCACTTCCCAAGCAGACCCTGCTTTTTCTGAAGGCCCATGAAAGGAGCAGGACCTCCTGCCATCTACTGCCAAGGGCAAGGCTAGAGCATTGAGCAGAGGGCCTGGAGACAAGGGAAGTTTAAAGAAATACTTTTCCTGTATTTGGCTTAGGGACCTGAAACTTAATCAGCAACCTACACCAACCTCCTACACCGAATTGCCTGGGCTTTTGCCCCAGAAGTAAGGAGGGGGCTGAGAGAGCAACCTTTAGCATCGCTTTGCTCTTCATCTCCTGCTGCTGGCAGGGACCTGTGATGCCTCGGGGAGACCAGATGGCAGCAGGATGCCATCACCAAGTCAGAGCTAGAGCGATGAGTGAGGATCACAGCCCCAGACTCAAAATGCAGACAGTACAGGTGCCAGCACATCAGGAGCCAGTGAAATCGAGAGGCCTGGCAGTGCCTGTGGAACTGGGGAGGAGCTGGAAACCCAGGAGACTGCCAGACAGGAGGCCGTTCTCCCAGAGTGCACCAGCTTGGGGCACAGGGCCTCCAGGCTGCCCGTGACCTCCTGGGGAGGAGTCCCCACCCAAGAAATCAGTGCCTGGCACAGAGGTAGGGGAGAGGGAGGGACACTGGGAAATGACCAGGAAGCCAGCCGTACCATGTGGTCACAAATTTTGGGGTTGACACCGAAAACTCACAGCCTGGTGTGCCCAGAACAGCAAGGTCAAAAATGACCCCACTGCCAACCTTCACCACAACCCCCAGTCAGGAATCCAGGCAAGCAGAGCTATGGAATGTGCTCGAAAGTTTACCCCCTTTTCCCAAGTTCAAGGCAGTGCCTCCCCTCACTAAATTAATAAATCAAATCCAGATGCAAACCCAGTCTTGCTGATGCCCTAGGAAACGCCCTAGCTTCACACACCAGCTGACCCCAGATACGAGTCCTGGCCCGGCAGGGCTAGCCTGGCTCCCTCCCTCCAGAAGCCATTATTTCCCCACCAGGAGTCTGAACACAGACAGCACAGACTTCTGGGACATGGAGTCTCCCTAGGAAGAGGCTTCAGGGAGAGGACAGTGAATTGGCTGACCCTTCACCATCTTCCGCCACGTAGGACAGGCCTCCCCACCCCTGGTACATCCCTGTCTCTAATTGTAAATAAATCAACCAAACACAGTTATCTAGGATTTTTTGTTTTGTTCTGTTTTGTTATAAAAAAAAAAAATGACAAGACAAGACATCATGGCCAACTGCTAGGTCCCTAAGTGTCCTTCCATCCAGTGAAGCCGGAAAATGCCCAAGGGGTAGGGGAGTGTAGGGGAGGAAGGGGTAGGGGTAGGCGGTGTGGGGAGGGAGGCGGAGTCACAGGCTGTAAGCCACTGAAGGATGGAGTCTTCCTGGTGATTTCATGGCTCTGACCACACATGGATAGAAGCTGGACCCCAGGCAAGTCCCTCACCCCGCAGCAATGCCGGTCCCTTTCTCCATCAGGCACACGCGGTCCGATCACACATTCTTTCCTCCCCTCCTGACTGCTCAGAGGTGACCTGCACAGCCCCAGCCCTCTGTCCCACAGGCCTTCCTCTGACCCTCTTCCGTCCCCCGTAGCAGGGTCTCAGTTGTCAGGCAACAAGCAGATGGCACTACACCCCACCCGGGGGTAGGCTTGTCTCTGCAGCTCCTTCCCTCTGGGGGGACCTGGGGAGGAAGAGAGGGGGAGTTTGGCAGGCCTTAGCTTTGGGAGTGGGTCAGGTCTCTTGACCACTGAGCCATCTGCTATACCCCACACCTTCCCTATGGCCTCCACTTTCTGACTAGATTGAGGGGAGGGACAATGGTCAAGGTACAAGTCTACTTTCCTCCTCTGATTATGGGAGACTTCTCCCACAGGCTTGCACTCATCTTATAGGAGGTGGCCCCACATGTCCAAATCAGAGGAAGTCAGAATAAGAGCCCCCAGTGCTGAAAACTAGAGCTGGCGTGCAGGATGTGGTCAATCAACGTTTTCAGATGGCTGAATGAATGAATGAATGAATGAAGCCAGGATCAATGTGGAAATACACCAGGGCTCCCCGTTGCCACTCTCAGACCTCTCAGGCTATCTAAGCCCAAAGAGGACAACCCTAGGTTCCCGCTCACCCCAAGGGCACACCCATGCTCATAAACGCACACATACACACACACACACACAAACAAACACCCCGAGGGAAACTTCTGGGCCAGAGGCAGAGCCAGGACTCAGACCCAGGCTCCAGGTCAGCTCTGCAGCCTCCAGGGGATGGGGTAGCAGGAGGCACTGAGCCCCCTGCCTACTGGTAGGGCTCACTCTCGGAAGCTGTCAGCCAACTGGTGGCAGTCCAGCTCCCCTTTCGGCTCCAGGCCCCCCGCAAGCTTCACTCCTGTCTTCCGGTCCACACACCAGCACTTGCCGCGCTGCCCATCCAGGGCCGGGTGGCACTGCCAAGACAAGGGCATGAGAGATCAGTTCCCAGGCAGCCGGCCTCAATCCCACCCCAGCCCCCAAGTCAGACAGTTGCTTGACGATGGCCTCTGAGGACGGAGGCTCTTTCATGAGTACAAGTCCTCTGAAGCTCACTGGAGTAGAAAGAACTTGACCAAGAAGGAAAGGTCCAGAGAGTTTTAAAAGGCAGGGCCTTTTAAAGAAAGATCTATAGCCTACCTGCAGGGGAGGTTGGATCCACAGGATTTAGAGGTGCAGCTGGATTTGCAAGGCTAAGGCTCAGGTTGGAGATGTTCTGAATGTGTTCTGATTGGGTTGGGACTTTAAAGATGGGACTATGGTTAAGAGCAGGATCCTGGTTGAAGTGAAGGTGGGATCAGGGTAAGAGTTGCAGATGAATTGGAAATTATAATTAAAACATGAGTTGGATAAAGCTTAGAGCCCAGGTCAGAAATAGAACGAAGATAAAGATAGAGGTCAAGGTCAGGACAACTAAAGCAGTTAGGCTAAAGTCTGGGTTGGGATTAGACAGGGGAAAGAGGGCGATCAGAGGGCAAAGGTGTATTTCAGAGTCAGGATTAGAGTTGGAGTGAAGGTTGTCTTAAGGGTCAGAATTTGTCTGGGGATAAAGGGTCAAGTGTGAGAACTTTAGTAGGATAAAAATTGGGGGAAGAAAACCCATAGAACTGTTCAACACAGAGAGTGAACCCTAACGTAAAGTATGGACTTTAGTGAATAATAATAATGTGCCAATATTAGTTCCTCTATTGTAACAAATATATCACACTAATGCACGATGTCAATAGGGAAAACTGGGGGTGCGGGAGTAGATGGGAACTCTGTTCTTTCTGTTCAACTTTTCTGTAAACCCAAAACTGCTCTAACAAATGAAGTCTGTTAAATTTTTTTTTTTTTGATTAGGGGAAAAAAGCTTTTTAAAAATTGGGACCAAAAAAAATTGGTGTTGGGATACACATTGGAGATAGGTGTGGCATTGGTTTTTGGGGGGTCCCCCCTGGTCCTCCACTCATCGCACACCACCCATAACCTCCTCATGCCATCCTGGGATGTACAGACTCAGGAGCAGCCTTTTTCCTCCTAGTTGGGCCTCTGCTGACTGAGTGGCAACCCCCTTTGCGGATTTGTCTATAGAGCATGAAGTGTGAGGAGGTGTGTGGCTGTGCCCACAAAAAACTGGAGAAAGAGATCCAGGCCAAGGCTCCCCAGACGACACCCAGCATGAGGCACCCCAGTGCTCTGCCAAGATAAGCCACCCTTCCAAGCGGGTCCAACTCTGACTGACCAGAGATGGAGCTGGTGCAGGCCAACCTTCCTGAGCATCCCAGCTTCCTGGAGGCTTGTTGGAGGAACCCATGACCCAAGGGTGTGAGGAAACAGAGATTCCCTATGTTCATGTCTTCTCTCTTGCCCCTATCTCCAGCTGTCAGATCTGGCTTCACCTCCATCCTGGGTGTACCCCAGGTGGCTGGGCTGCTCTGCTTGGGGGAAGGGGCAGGCTGAGTTTCCTCCTTAATCCCTCTTGACTTAGCCTCTCCATTCCCAGGTGAGACCTCAGACATTGCATGACAAAGGAGAACAAATCACAGAAAGGGAGTAGGGGGAGTGAGAGAATGTTGGGAGGCAGAGGTTGGCAGGACTATTAGTGAATCAAGATGGAAATAGCCCTGGATGGGAAGGCAGGATAGTTGGTCTGCCATTAACTCACTCTGTGACTCTGGGCCTCAGTTTCCTCATTTCTGAAATGAGTGAAGCGGACAAAATGAGCCGAAGTTCTAAGCTGAGGGAAGGCCCTAGGGGTTAGGTGTGGGTTGGGGAGCCTCCCCGCTCCTGAGGCCTCCACGCTGGGCAACGCTGTGGAGAGGCCGGGAATGCCCCCAGAGCTGAGGCCAGGGCCCAGCAGGAAGGAGATGGAGACCCACCTGCTTGGGGTGGAAGTTGCCATTGCGGTCGCAGTTGGGGATAGGAATGATGTAGAGGTCCTCGTGAGTGCGGCTCTGTGATGCAGCCAGTCGCTCCAAGGCCCGGTGCAGCTCGCTCTGGCAGGAGCCCTGGGGCTGGGGAAGAGGGAAGATGAGACTGCTCATTGGAAGGGAGAGAGGAAGAAGGAGAACCAATGATGGAGGCCAGGCAGGGCTCAGTGAAGGGCCTGGCTTGGGTTCAGGGGACACTAGTGGGGAGAGCAAGGGGACATTGAAGAAAGGATCTTCAGTCAAAGAGCTTCTAAAAAGGAGAGGCATGAAGTGAAGGGACCTTGTGGGGACAGGGGCTGTGGAAACCTGTGGAGAAGGACTGGAAAGGGGTAATTTCTAAGCAGGAGAGATGGATGAAATCACATAATCAACAACTTGTAAGACCCGGGCATAGATCCATCAGAACCACCCATCAGAAAGGACATTTACCAGACCCTGGAGCAGGGTCCCGAGACCCCTGCTATGGGCAATCCAAGAGAAGGGCCATGAAACACCAGGAGGCTTGGGGCAACTACTATTTACCAAGCAGTACAGAAGTATTTCAGTATTTAACAATCACTTCAGCAATCCCAACGTATAGAACTGCTGAGCAGGAATGGAATGTCAAGGAAAGGAATGAGGACTCTCTGGGTCCTGGTGGTGCATACTAGGTGCATCTTGCACACAGCAGGCATCCAAAGAATGTTTACTGAATGAATGTAATCCAGATCTGCTGGTGGTGCTGGGTGTGTGTGTGTGTGTGTGTGTGTGTGTGTGTGTGTGTGTGTGTGTGTGTGTGTGTGC